CGTGCCTGCTGAGTGCCAGTACATCTGTATCCCCCATGTTCCCCACCTGTCCTCCCGCCGGTCCTTCTTTGGCTTCTGTTCAGCCAGAAACCGTCCCCAACGTCCCCAAGCCTTCTTATGCTCCAGTCATGTTATTATTAAACTACACGACAATCAGACTTGCCTCTTAAATTTTACATTCCCACATGTTGCTGTATGTCACTTCCCAGCCCTCCCTCTGAAAGGCACACTGATGGGCCATGCCCCATAACACAGCAGCATCTACCACCGCCGGGCTCTGCCGAAGCTGGTGGCTTTGCACTCTGCTTCCTCCTCCCCTCCATCTCCATTGCTCACCCCCAGCGCCCCAGTCTCCTCTCCCAGTCCCACCAGCATTGCACTGTCTTCGTGGCTTCGCGTTTCCCACCATCTGCTACGTCCTGCGTGACTCATCACCAGAAACGCCTCCTCAGCTGAAGCAGCAGTGCGCTTGGCAAAGCATGCCTCCTCCTGCAGAGGCAAAGGGAGCGCGCAGCCGCCACGAACGCACGAAGCGCAGGGCGCAGGCCCAGGACCAAGGGAGAGGTCGCCAGAGGCACAAGTGGCAGCCGGCAGCCCGGGACCAAGGGAGAGGTCGCCGGTCGCCAGCGCGCAGCCGCCACGACGGCAGCCCGGCGCTGAGGACCAAGGGAGAGGTCGCCAGAGGCACAAGTGGCAGCCGGGCATCCAGTCGGACATCCCACCACCACTGCCAGTTCTGAAGAAACTCCTCGCGACTTCCTTGCGACAACAGCAAGATGTCCTCTGCTGCACAGTCCAGCCTGGAAGGAAAGAAATTTATTTGCACAAAGCCCGTTACAGTTATTCACCGCAAGCAGAATCACGGGCGCTAGAAAGTCAGAGCTGTTACCAACTCAGTATCTTTGTGAGTAATAATTACCTCAAGGCTTTTACTCTTAATTAGTGGATTTGGGTCTAGTCAGCCACTGGTGCATGTGCATAAACTCTCATTGATGTCAAAGACTATGTGGAGTAGAAGACTCCTTAAAAATAGTAATTTCTCCCCAGGGAAGAACGGGTTTTTTTCTTACCCATCTTCTGCTCCTTCCCAAAATCATGACTTTGAATTAAATCTTGCCAGATTACTGGTGTCCTGCGACATGTCAGAACTGGGACCTAGAATGCTCAGAAATATCTCTGTGCTCTTGAATGGAAAAAGTCTCCCGACTGGTATTTACTGTCTAGAGCACAAACACCACTCCACCACATCTGGATTAACCTCCGCGTGCCCTCCTTGTTCTCCAGTGCCAGACATTTTCCCTCCCTCAGCAGCGCTCAAGAGAAAGGAGCTTTTTTCTAACCCTCTTGTGCATCCCTTGATTTGCAGAAGGACAGCCTTGCCAAGGCAGATGCTTTGTCCGCACTCCCATGGTTTGCTGCAGATATTTTTCACTTTTCTGGATAACTGTAAAGACAGAGGGTTGTTGAAAAAATGGATTACAAGGCTTTTGAGCAAGCCGAGCTAAAACAAGGTTGAGCTTTGTCCACAACTGCCCTCAAACGACTTTTGGAGCCGATTTGCCTGCGCTGATTCTTAGTGATAGGGGAATATGAACGGAGGTTTAAGTATGTCATTATGGATGTCCTTGCTTTTGGAAGCAGACTCTGGGATCATCCTGACCTGCAGAATCAGGGAATTTGTCAGATTTGACCTTTAAAACACTAAAAAAAATATAGTTTTACATTATATTTTAAAATACAATTCTAAATGCAAAGTCTAAAATGTTACTCACAAATTGTGAATAATAATGAACATACTAAGTAAAAAAAAAATTGAAAGCAGTAATAGAGCTGATGAAGATCTCAGAAGGCAGCACTGATTTAAAGACAAAATGGGCAAGGACAAAGCCTTAACCTCGCTGGCTATCTCCAGGACTTGCTGTGGGCTGTGTTTGGACTGCCTCTCACGGCACTGAACTTCAAGACACCAGAAGGCTGTTAGGATTGTGTTTGCTCTGGGGCTGACAAATTCTGACCTCCTGTAGAACCAATGGAAAGAATAATCTTTAGGCCATTCATCCTATTTGTCTAGCATAGGTGTTGCAATTACTTTTCCCAAATTACTATATGTCAAACCAAAGTGTGGCAACCCCAGCAAGCAGGTGATCCGAACAGTTTACTTCTCCTTTTTTGAAAAAGATAAACACCAGAGAAGACCCTACCTTCTGACTTAGGGACCACAGAACAAGTTTTGGACATAATGCGTAAACCTTAATGATTCCTGACCCTCAATTTCTTGACATACGAAGTCAACAGCTCCTTAAATTCCCTATTATGTTGTCTGCATCTCTTTTTTTTAAAGGTCAGTGCCTGCCGTTTTTTCCTGCCTTGCTTCCTGACACTATAATTTTAGTCCCAGCAACAACGCTTTGTTAATACTTCAATATATTTCAAATACTGTATCTCACCAGCAACTCAAAATATCATGCTGGAGATCTGATGCTCTGTGCATGGCAAATGTTCCTTTGTGGAGCTTTTGATGTGATGTCAAGCCACGCTGCGCAGGCATTAAATTGTGGATCTTTGATATCACGCACCATGACAATGTCTCCTTCGTAGCCGTCACAGTCACTGACTCAGGGCGTGCTGTTCGTACTGTCGGCGCTCCTGGAAACGCAACGTACCTGGGGCGTGTTAGAATCTGGTTGCGAAAAGACATATGATGCCTGTAGTATAATCAGTAATCAACTGTGAACTTCTTAATCACTGCAAAGAAAATGATGCAATTTCATGAATTCTACCTGCACAACCCCAGGAGAATATGTGCATAATTATCAATAATGACTCAGATCTGTGCGCAGGACCAGGGCTTATCCAGGAAAGCTGATCTTTTTCACCCAAATGCTGCAGGGTAAAATGTACTTCGGAAGGAAATGACAATTTCCTCAATTAAAAACCGCACGATTTGTCCTTATTTTTCCTTTTTCACTCCTTCATTACCATTGTAAAGATCAAGTTGCATAAGATCCACTAACGTGTTGCTCATTCTTAGAGTCTTCGAGTCAGCATGGTTGAAGCCGAGACTGCAATAAGAGTTGCTCTGTGCAGTACTTTCCTCTCTTCCCGTAGCACTTTAAACTAGGAATTACCTATCACCAGGAAAAAGCAGTTTGTTTTTATAAATACGTGATTGAAATACCTTGCAATACACAGAGCTCTCCAACAAGTGGCACTATTAAAACTATTCAAGTTACGAGATTGATATGCAAATGAGATCTCAGAAAGGGATGTTGGGACATGTTTTACAATATTGGATTCCATTTAAAATCTTTTAAATTTACATATGAAATACGATTGAAATAGACATCCATAGTTCAGATATTCTGGAAAGTTTTGTGTTATCCGTAAGGAAAACACTGAAAAGTAGGTCAAGTGCCGTAAGCTCAACCAGGCGGTCCTCTCTGAAGGGATGAAGTCACAGCAGTGTGGAGGAACCACCTAATTAAGACATTAGTAAAGGCAACGTGTAACCAGGAAATTTGTCCACAGAGTTGAGCTAAAAGCAGTTGCTGAATGTGTGGATGTAGCCTTTTCTCGAGGATAGCGTTGCAGCGTTCACGGCAAGTTATCCCTCAAGTATTCACGGGGTAACTTCTAAATTGTACCTCTTCACATTTATTCTTACCTTATTCTGTTGTTGTTGCTTGACAAATTGTGGATCGTTTTGAGAGACCATACATGACATCCCTTCAAATAATTCATACTTGTCTGGAATATATGTTTGGCTGTACTTGAAGAAAAATGGTCCAGAAATAGTTACATATACAAAAATTGAGGCGTGGAGATAGTTGATTGCAATGGAAACAGGATCAGATTGGATTTGTTGCTGGAATATATGCAGTTTGGGAATGAATTGGGAGGCCAATGCACTAAAATGTAGAACACCTGATACAAAAATAGCATTTTTAAACAGTAGGTTTCATTCGGTTAGCATAATATTCCTTCTGTCTTTGAAAATCAACTCTGCCAGTTTCTTCCCAGTTTTCTAGTGTTATATAGAGATATAACGACCATAATAAAACCACGACCTGAATGATATACAGGAATCTGAACTCTGTCTTCCATTATGAGTTGGTCACAAAATTATTAATAGTATTTGGGTACCAAAAGCTGCATAGAGGCGCTTGGTGAGTTTTCAGAAAGCCTCTGTGCCCAACCCCTGCTTGGCTCTAGCTTCTGTCACTCAGTGCCGATCTCTGTCCTGCCCAAGCGTGATCTGCTTCACACTGAAGTCACTGTAAATTTTATACACAGGGTAAACAGAATAATAAAATCTAAAATGGACGTTTTCACTTTACGCTTCTGTTAAGCCAAATAGTAACATTCATTTCAAAATGTCGGCCAGTAAGATAAATGGCAATTATTGTGCCCTTCAGAAACGTGCGCTACGGGCAGAGGTGTATACAGAGTGCTTTGTTGACTTTTCTTTTCGGCCGGCTTTGACTACCTGGTGCCGTATCTCCTGTAGTGTGTTGTAAATAACAGAATATGTGCCCTTTGAATGCAGTGGCACAACGGGCACGTAGCGTGTCAACTAAAGCATTACAAATGCTGCATGGCTTATTTTTATCTCTCCGTCCTTCTCAATATAGTATCTTTATCTCTCACGCCAATAAAAAATTATTTTTGTGTCTCTAGGAAAAACAAGGCAACAAGGAGACTCTTGTTAACTCTGCTAGCGTTTAAACACATGACAAGTCCCCTTACACACTGTGGGACTCTTCACGTGCTTAACACTATATATGTCTGCAGAACCGGAACCTGAATGGCACTTGCGAGCAAGGCTTTATATGAACATTACTTGGAAAGGGAAAGTGAAGTTTGTGAGTCAAATTCTCCAGTGGGGTGCTATTCTGCAGCCACATGTAGCTGGGAAAAGTAGGGGTAAAATGCTGCTGAACTGAAATGCTTTTCACTTTACACAAGCGGACAACCGTGCAAAATGCAAGCCAGGGGAGAACTATGCTTTTGAAAAGTGACAATATATTTGTCGTTACATACAAAGAGTTGATTTTGTGTTGGCAGACAGCATTTGCAGTTTTCTGTAGTTTAGTAGACTTCGAGAACGCAGGTAGCCCGATGGAGCTGCTGCAATTTCAGGAGAAGACATCAGTGAAATAACTTCACAGAAATTGCTCCTCGCTAAAAGATACGGAAAACACTGTATTTCATCTGTCTGTAGTGAAAGAGGGGAACAGAGGACGAAAATGTACAATAAAACCTGACACAAACACAGAAAAAATAACAAACGTACGTTAATTACCGAACGTGCTTTTGTTAGCAGTAGGTCGCCATCATTCTTTATTGACATTTACTGCAACTGCAATTTCTCTTTCAAGACCACTGACCCAGGAAAATGTAACCCTCTAGTTATCCAACACCCTTTAATTAGAGATGTCTCCAGAGATAATCTCACTCACGGCCCCCGTGGCGAATCGTTTATTTTCTAACTTTCCTTTTTATCAGCCGTCTTTCATCTTTACGTTTTCCTGCCCTAGCCCGGCTGAGGAACGCGGGCTTGTGGAACGCGGTTTATCCATTCACCGGTTCTCCCAAGTGCATTTCACGTCTCGTGGCATTTGGGGTCTCGCTCGTAAGCGCTGGCTGCCGGCACCGGGATAATTTGCAGGAATCGCAGCTTTCCGCTCGGCGAAAGGAGCCATGGCGCCGGGCCTCGGGGGGGGGAAAGGGCTCGGGAGCAGGCACCTCGCGCCCGCCGAGACGAGGCAGAGGACAAACCGCCCTCTCACGCTGGGAACGCTCGGTGGGGCTTTGTTTTTGTTTTTAGTCTCGGGAGCGCATCTCTCCTCCTGCGATGCTCGGCAGGGCTGACTCACGGCTGTCGGACGGCCAGGCCTGGTGACGGTGGCGGGCCCCGGCCTCCCCCACGCATGCCGCCCGGGGCGGTGCACACCGTGCCCCGCCGTCGCCGGC